CTGCCGGAACAGCCAGGTCTTGACGGCTTTGCGGAAAGCCTGAAGGGTGGTGAGGGTCCGAATCTCCACAGGGAGATCATTTGCAGTAACCTTCCCCTGGAGTGGGGAGAGAATTGAGATTTTGCAGTATTCTTTCCCTGGAATGTGGTGGGAATGGAGATTTTACAGTATCCTTCCTGTGCCAAGCCCACCAAGCCATGTCCACAGAATTGGTAGTAAAAAAAAATTTTAATCCCACCACTGGAAAGGAACATATTTAGTTAGATGAGTTAGAGACAAAACATACAAATGAGCATTTGGTGAGGGAATAATATCTGCATCTGAAGCATATATATAAAGGAAATAGCAAAGATGAGCAAAAGAAATGAGAAAGAAAATGTTCCTGTGTAACCTGCTGGACTGATATATATGCAGAAGAACTTCTCCTGCCATTGAAAAGCCACAATCTGCTCCGACACACCTGGGAGCGTGGCTTGGAGAATCCAGATCTCTCTAGGGCAAAGCAGGTTTAAGTCCTGGGCAACCTTTGGTTTTAAACATGCTTTCTTCTTTTTTATCCTGTTTTTCCAAATTGCTTAGAGGAATTCATCTCTCTTGTTCACCTAAATCTGTTACAGGCTCTTCCTTCACAATCCCGCAAGTATTTATTTTGAGCTAGGGATGCTTTTTTACTTTATGGAACACTTTGTTCCCACTGAGTGTAAGAAAAGCCTATTTGCAGTATAACCTTTCTGTTATGAGCTAAGAAAGAAGGTTTATCTTGCTGATTCTGTAAACACACGCTGACTCAAGCTCCTTGTGCTGAGTTGGCAAACTAGATCACACAGCCCTCTCTGTTTTATAAGCAGTCTACTGTTAGGCTAAAGGAACAACTACGTTATAAAGTAGGTTTTGACTGAGACTATATCTCTGTCTCTTAACGTGGACAAAGTGTTATGTGTTCTTATCCATGCTGATAATCAAAGGTGCTGCAAATTGAGAAATTTCCATAATATTCTATATGACATTGTATAACCTATCTTTCAGCTTAACACACAAGTGCACATTAAGTGTGGCTGCCTTCTATGACAATTGTCCATAAAGTATATCATGTAATATACTTGCAAAAGCCTTGGGCCAATAAGTATCTTGTGGAAGGCTGCTGGCTTCTGTTTCTTTCTTGTTTAACCTCCCTATCAGTGAATGCGCTATTGGTGCAAATGGATATTTTTTTTCCATTTCTTCAGGAAGAGAGCTTTATTTATGCTATACGTTTTCCTGCTGTAAAACCACTGGACTTTTCTTCTCTGTTTTCTCAATCATTTGCAACTGTTGACAGTTAATTCCCAACTCTTCTCTGGATGTCTTTTTTGTAGGCTTCTAATCCAGGTCAATTTGAGAGTGACAGTGATGTACTTTGGCAACGCTCTCAGCTACCTGACACTGTCTTTCACCATGGCCGAGTTGGCATCAACACAGACCGACCTGATGAAGCCTTGGTTGTCCATGGCAATGTAAAAGTTATGGGTTCCCTTATGCATCCGTCAGACATCCGAGTAAAAGATGATATCCAAGAGGTAAGTGTTTGCGCCACAAATTATATTCAATACTGAATCTGCTTTGAAAATCCACACTGTCACTTTAGATTTCTGAACTGAAACTTTCATGAGCACTGAACAAGTCCTCCTCATTGCAAGCCAAAAAACGAACACTATAGAAGTAGGCCAAAACTTCGCCTAACGCTTGGAATAAGCAGGTGTTCTAATTGCAACAGTGTTCAGGAGGCAAACATACCAAGGCAGTTATTCTGTTTGGTACTTCCTGTGTTCTGTCTCACAGTATGTTTCATTGTTTTTTTCCCTTTGCCTTCCCTCATGTCAGGATATAGCAATAGCACTTAGACTTATATACCACTTTACATTGTTTTTGGCCCTAAGTGGTTTACAGTCATCATATTGCCTCCAGCAATCTGGGTCCTCATTTTACCGACCTTGAAAGGACAGAAGCCACTTGACTCAGCCTGGTAAGATTCAAACTGCCAAATGGCAGGCAGGCAGTCATTCTAACCACTGTACCGCCACGGCTCTTTGTGTCACTATAGTTCTAGTTAAGGTTCCATTATTGTACATGGGACTTGCTATGCCCTTAATTCTATTTCAACTTGTCTTTGTAAAATGCAATTGCAAACTTTTGATTTTAATACTGTGTGTTCTGTATGAAAGGAAGAGTTCCATGAATCTCAGGTTGTAATTTGGCCTGGCTTTCAAATTCCCAGTTTGTTTGCTTTTATTAAAACTTAAAAATACTTTATATTAATTCCTGAACACTAGATGAATACATTTGGATTTGGTCTAAGCTTAGAGTTTCAGTTCTAGGCTTAGACTAATAGTTTAGGTACTACCTGAGAGAGAGGGAGGGAGGGAGGGAGGGAGGGAGAGAGAGAGTATTCTCAGTTTGATATTCTAAATATATTTAAATGATTTACATTCTTGTTGTTTTTTATAGACTGCAGTACTTCATTCTGTAAAGGTCAGCACAGATATTAAGCATTACAGTCAGTTATAAAACTGGACAGGCTTTGCTTCCGGTAGTAGAAAATAATACTAAGTCTCCCTGGTTTTTAGAAAATTGAAGTGTTGTCCTTTACTCAAAAGGCTAAATTCTGCTGCTCCTACTGTTCAAATCAATAATACAGAGAACACATAAATACTGAGCTGAAATCAGCATGTGATTATCTACCATATATTCAAACTTCCTCTACACTTTTTCTATTTCTGACAAATATGGTTAGATGTAACTATCTGGTGCCTTATTGAGGATTGCAGAGTACTTTTATGGATTTCTTTTTCTTCTAATTTTAGGTAGACACCACAGAACAACTGAAGAGAATCTCCCGTATGCGGCTGGTGCACTATAATTATAAGCCAGAGTTTGCTGCTACTGCTGGCTTGGAGAATACAACTGAGACAGGTACAGGTAATTTTCCTGACCTCAAGTTTAAATGACATTACTGTAGCAAGTACGTCTAAAACTATTGATTACAATTGTTCCATGGACTCTCATATTCTTGACTTCTCTTTGATGATACTTGCCTATTGGTTTGGCAATGATGTTATAGTTATATGTCACATTTTATCTGAAGATTGTTTCCTTACTTAGAGAGAATGTTTTTGTATAATACCTAGGTATTTTAACACTGTACAAGATAACAGGAAAATCATTTACCAAGTATCATTCATCATGATGTGAAAACCCAGGCCTAATACTCTTTCTTTACTTCATTTAAATATCAGATATACTGTAACTGCTACACTTATACCATTGTTTTTCATAGCAAATTATTAGAACGCAGAGTGCATTTTTGTGTCTTTGTTGGAACATAGCTGTTGGAATGCCAAACTACTTTGAAAGTTAACAACCGGTTCTCCCGAAGTGGTGCAAACTGGCTGAATCCCACCACTGGTGTGATGAAAGTAGTGTGCTTCATGCAAGAGTTCCTGATGCCAAGCACACAAATACTATCTTTCTGTAATGATGAGCTTTCCTAGGGACTTTGCTTACACTGAACCTTTTAGCTGTTTCTAAAGTGAAAATTTTAAAATAACTACTTTACTGCAATTGCTGCTAATGTTTATAATATAATACATATGCTTGAATTATATCTTTAATTGTAATTTTTTGGCGTAAATATCTTCTATAATGACACTTATTGAGCTCAAACCTGTTATGTTTTATTTTGTTTTTTTCCTGGGCAGGTGTTATTGCTCAAGAGGTGAAGGAAATTCTTCCAGAAGCAGTAAAAGATTCTGGGGAAATAGTCTTTACCAGTGGGAAAAGTATTGAGAATTTCCTTGTGGTAAATAAGGTGAGTGAAACTCTTGGAAATAAACTTTCCTTTCTTCAAGGATGGACTTTTGTGTGTCACTGTTACATAAGTCGCTGTATCCATATTTCTCTCTACAAGTTTTGCATAGTGAAAAGATTTTTGCAAAAGGTCCACATTGAGGAAAGTGTCTGTTGTCATTTTGCCTGACATGTTTTCTTTTTTTAAAAAAATATTTGCGAAAGCAAAACATCCTCGTCCTTTGAAAATAAAAGACCAAATCACAAGGTAAAGATTTGAGCCCATCAGATGGTCTCTGTATAAAAGCAAACTTTTTTTTTTTTGCTCATTACAGGAGCGGATTTTCATGGAAAATGTTGGGGCTGTGAAGGAGCTCTGCAAACTGACTGACAACCTGGAAAACCGGATCGATGAACTAGAGAGGTGGAGTCATAAACTGGCCAAGCTCAAAAGGTTGGACAGCATGAAGTCAACTGGAAGTTCTGGAGCATTCAGGTAATACACATACCTGAATTTTTAACATAACTTTTATTCAGCTTTGGATCATAATATGGCGTGGCCACCTGGAGGAAAGGACAGATTTAATTCCCTATCACAAAAATAACACACTAGTTACAATCTTATGATTTAGGAGGAAGCTGCATGGAAGCTACCTACAAGTGGCACTTGTAAGTATATTAAGATTTGAACTAATAGAGAAGCTCATAGAGTTTTGGAATAGGTTCAGGTGTTTTTCCAAGCTGAAGATTTAATTCCCTTTCCAAGAGAGAGGAAAGAACTGTTTTTTCTTTTCTTCTACCATAATTAAGAGCAACATCATGATATTTCTCTAATCCTTAATAAGAAGATGAAAATATTGCACCATTCAAGTCTCTAGACAATATGAGTATCCATATCGAANCCACCCAGTCACATGGCTGGCAAGCCACTCCCACAAAGCAGGCCACACATACGGAAAAGGTTCTAAAAAAATTTCAAACCCACCACTACTTAAGAGAGATTAGAATCTAAATACCATAACCCATCTGTAGCCACCATTCCTCCCCTTCAAAGCTGAGCCATTCAAGCACCTTTCTGAGTCTTTATGTATGATACTCTGAAGCAGATGCCAAAGTAAATTACTTCTGCCCAGAAGAATGAAAAATGGAGCTTCCCAAAGGCCACCACGTGGCTTTGTGGCACAGATACCTTCTGGCAGCAAGGGGGGGGGGGGTATCCTTTGAAATGTAGACATCCTGCAAGCCAGATCTTATTAAACTAACAGGACGTATGTATTGTAAGAGTATAAGAAATGAAGAAGCTTCTTTTTCTGTTGGAGATCCAATACTCATAAACCTGGAAGACTGAAACAGTGTTCTCCCAGTTTTTTCCTTGAAAAAGTAAAAACACAACCTTTGTAAATTATTTTAAAGCATTTTAAGCTCTTCTTTAGTACTTTGTTCCATTTTATTTCAATTGTTGTACTGCTTTTAATTTGTATGGTTTATTTTACAGTTGTTTTTATTGTTGGTTCAGTTGTTTAGAACACTATAGGTTTTTATTTTGATCAGAAATTATATAGAAATGCTTCATACGAATAAAGTCATTATTAATGTATAAACTCAGTTTATAAGGGCAATAAATTATTCAGCAGCTGTTGCATACTCTCAATATATGTAGGACAAAGTATTGTGCTCATCAATGAAAAAGTTGAAATCTCTTTTGAAACTTTGATGTCTTTATTATTTGAAATCCCACTGAAACATCCCAGGAATCCCTATTTGATGTCCAACTCTGTATGAAATCACAGCAGTTAAACCATGTACTCTAGAAGTCTAATTGCCAGAATAAAACTACAATACTAGAATCAGCTGGATAGAATCTTTATTTTCTGTTGCTTTGCTTACCCTATTGCTTTTTTAGTAAACTCTGACTAGTATTTCAGTTACTCCCTCAGTTAATATGGGTGACAATAATGTCAAGAATTTTGAAGGGAGCACGTGAGGGAAGAACGTTGGATTGGCAGTAGTGTCAATTTAAGGATCAACTTTGGAATTTTTCTTTTATGGAAAGGTACAGAAGTGGTATTCAGCAGGTTCTGACAAGTTCTAGAGAACCGGTAGTGGAAATTTTGAGTAGTTCGGAGAACCGGTAAATACCAGTTCTGACTGGCCCCACCTCCATCTATTCTCTGCCGAGTCCCAGCTGATCTGGAGGGAATGAGGATTTTGTATCTTTATTATACTTGTATGCCGCCCTATTCCCGAGGGACTCAGGGCGGCTAACA